TGCCATCCTTTATCTCATTTAGTGAGTGTCCTCACATCTGAAGCCAATATTTGGTGTTCCTGAAAAATAAATGTGCCCCCACAGGACTGCATTTAATGAGTAGTATACACCTTTGCTGGCCAATGTGAGTGGGTGGAAAAGGCTGCCGATCAATGAAGTGGGACATTTGCGTCATTCACTTGAAGTACAACTCAACAAGAAGCATGACTGATCAGCTTGGAATCTCGCCTGAGTTTAGGCACCAGGTCACATTGACACTTACAAACCGGGGGCTAAAGCTGACCTTTGCATTTACAAAATGCAAACAGTGCTATGAAAATGCAGACCACTGAGATTATAGTTAAATTGTGCCTTAACGTAATTGCCTTTTTCCATTAAATCACCATATATTTATTGATGCCTGCTTTTCGCTCAAGTAAATTAACTCTTCATTTAACGAATTTGCCCTGTTATCAATTTTCACACAGCAAGTCAGCCACTGGACAGGTGCTTTAACTAAGGAAATCAGCGTAAAAAAATTACTATATCTTGCACTATTACAGCAAATAAGACATTTCACAATGGATAGGTCTAACTGAATTGCGTGGACATCTGGAAAAAAAACGGCTTCCGTGACACTGCGAGTGATATGGTACGTACCAAGTGTTCTTGCAAAACACTTGTCACCTGATTTCAACACAAAAAAAATCCAAAAGCCACCTTTACCAGCGAATATTACAAATAAATGAAAATCCTGAGCCATACAGTGAGGGAAAAAAGTATTTGATCCCCTGCTGATTTTGTACGTTTGCCCACTGACAAAGAAATGATCAGTCTATAATTTTAATGGTAGGTTTATTTGAACAGTGAGTGTGAGAATAACAACAAAATCCAGAAAAACGCATGTCAAAAATGTTATAAATTGATTTGCATTTTAATGAGGGAAATAAGCATTTGACCCCCTCTCAATCAGAAAGATTTCTGGCTCCCAGGTGTCTTTTATACAGGTAACGAGCTGAGATTAGGAGCACACTCTTAAAGGGAGTGCTCCTAATCTCAACTTGTTACCTGTATAAAAGACACCTGTCCACAGAAGCAATCAATCAATCAGATTCCAAACTCTCCACCATGGCTAAGACCAAAGAGCTCTCCAAGGATCAGGGACAAGATTGTAGACCTACACAAGGCTGGAATAATGGGCTACAAGACCATTGCCAAGCAGCTTGGTGAGAAGGTGACAACAGTTGGTGCGATTATTCGCAAATGGAAGAAACACTAAAGAACTGTCAATCTCCCTCGACCTGGGGCTCCATGCAAGATCTCACCTCGTGGAGTTGCAATGATCATGAGAACGGTGAGGAATCAGCCCAGAACTACATGGGAGGATCTTGTCAATGATCTCAAGGCAGCTGGGACCATAGTCACCAAGAAAACAATTGGTAACACACTACGCCGTGAAGGACTGAACTCCTGCAGCGCCCGCAAGGTCCCCTTGCTCAAGAAAGCACATATACATGCCCGTCTGACGTTTGCCAATGAACATCTGAATGATTCAGAGGACAACTGGGTGATAGGGTTGTGGTCAGATGAGACCAAAATGGAGCTCTTTGGCATCAACTCAACTCGCCGTGTTTGGAGGAGGAATGCTGCCTATGACCCCTAGAACACCATTCCCACCGTCAAACATGGAGGTGGAAACATTATGCTTCGGGGGTGTTTTTCTGCTAAGGGGACAGGACAACTTCACCGCATCAAAGGGACGATGGACGGGGACATGTACCGTCAAGTCTTGGGTGAGAACCTCCTTCCATCAGCCAGGGCATTGAAAATGGGTAGTGGATGGATATTCCAGCTTGACAATGACCCAAAACACACGGCCAAGGCAACAAAGGAGTGGCTCAAGAAGAAACACATTAAGGTCCTGGAGTGGCCTAGCCAGTCTCCAGACCTTAATCCCATAGAAAATCTGTGGAGAGAGCTAAAGGTTCGAGTTGCAAAACGTCAGCCTCGAAACCTTAATGACTTGGAGAATATCTGCAAAGAGGAATGGGACAAAATCCCTCCTGGATGTGTGCAAACCTGGTGGCCAACTACAAGAAACGTCTGACCTCTGTGATTGCCAACAAGGGGTTTGCCACCAAGTACTAAGTCATGTTTTGCAGAGGGGTCAAATACTTATTTCCCTCATTAAAATGCAAATCAATGTATAACACTTTTTAAATGCGTTTTACTAGATTTTTTTGTTATTATTCTGTCTATCACTGTTCAAATAAACCTACTATTAAAATTATAGACTGATCATTTCTTTGTCAGTGGGCAAACGTACAAAATCAGCAGGGGATCAAATACGTTTTTCCCTCACTGTAAATAATTTCAAATTCCCAAGGCATCTTCTAAAGGGCTTATGAGATCATTAACAGTATATCTAAACAGCTCATCGCAGACTATCGCCTTATCCTTGCACACGGGGCCATGGTGATTATGTACTGTACATTATACTTATATGTAACAATAATTATAAAGTACGGCAACTTTGCAAATCGAACTCCAGGGTAAGGTCTCTTCATGCCACGTTGGTCATCGGGGTTATCTTTCCACACTTTACCATGCTAGTCATTATGGGTAGGTGAAGGAGGGTGGACAGGACGGTCTTAGATATCACTCACAACTGATACTAATTCTACTTCTGTCAGCCATGGCTGGGAATAGAACTCAGGCCACCAGGTTCACAGCACAATGCACTTTATAAAACTGATCCACCCACAATAATATATATTCCACAAAATCTGAATCTATTGGTGCATAAATCACCCATGAAATTTACACCAGGGCTATGGGCATACCACATCAAATCACAGTGGGACATTACAAAGGTAAATTAAATTAGTAAGGTACATTGCCTGCTAGGCACAGAGTAAACACTGTAGAATTACAGCTGAATAACCCTTAATGTGCCAGATTTAATCATAAGTTGGACGCTAAAGAGGCTTGAGCCTGGTTAGTGGAGTACTTGGAAGAATGCCTGGGAATATCGGGTATTATAGGCTTTACAAAAATCTATGTGGAGCTTTAAGTGTCACCCCCTTGTACGCATGGCTTTTCTCTGGTAACGCCAACATTTCTCTAACAAGCCACTCGTTAAAGGAAATTGGCCAAACACCAGAATGCAGGAGCCTCCCTAAATACGAGGCATGGGCCTTGGTCAGGCTTTGGTGAGTAAATAATTGCCAATGTTATTTAGAGAGCAGTCCAGAAATTGATGCTTGAATCTGTGTGATGCTTTGAGTATTGCCATTGTAAGCATGGTGGGTTTTCACTGGGACCCTCTGGTTTCTTACCAACTGCTACTCATTTATGGAACTGGCCAACAATCCTAATGCAGGTCCTCCCAGAAAAAGAAATGTGCACTGGGACTCGCTCGGTGGAGCTTTTTCCTGGGTAAAAGACATCAGAAGTACCATTCTATAGTATTTGGTTAGCGCACGACGCAAAGATCCCAACGACACGAGTTCAATTCCCACCACCAGCGTCAAGCGGTCCATTGCAATCCCCTTCAAACCAACCTGCACCGGCAAACGTCATGTACAGCATGGTCAGACAAGCCCCACACTGTGGGTTTTTGGGATTGGGGTGGCGATGAGTTTTTGCCAATGTGGTGAAAAATTGTTTAACAACCCCCGTTGACCGTCACGGTGAGGTGTAGGCCTCATCCAACAGTGGATTGACAAAGGGATTGTAAATGTAATATTATTCTGCAGCACTTTATTAGTACCCTGTTCGCCCCCCCCCCTTCCTTGTCCTTGAGATATCTCCCTCGGATGTCCCATAGACAGGTCTTCATCGCACAATGTGTTATCAATGACTCTCACCTGGATTAAATGACATCAATGGGGATGCAGGCACAAAGGAAAAACTGGAAGCGCCGCTGTTGTGCATTTTTTTTTACATCGTTATTATTTTTTATTTTTGTTACTTGCCGACGTCACTGCGCAGGATTTACACCCCCGAGATATTTTTTATTTTATTTTAAGAATTGAAATAAGGAAGAGACACGCGTTACCGCTCGTACACAGAGCACAACACACCACCTCAAGTACATATCGTTACAGTAATATCGTACAACAACAAAAAAAAACACAATAACATTTTATAATCGGTACGAACATAAAGCCGCGCGCGGCACGTACGGATGGACGTGTGCGGACGATGCCGCAAAGCCAAGGGAAGTGGAACGGCGTTCCGAGGCTGTGGACACCAGGAGATGGAGCGATGAAATGATGAAATCGGGACTCGTCGTGAGAAGACGAGTGGATTATTATTTTGGCGTTATCACAACGTGGGATCGCGAGGGATGGCGACGGCTCGGAGAGGCCTTCGGCAAAAGCGATGGAACGACTTATGGCTGATGATGCCGCAAAGTGACATACCAACAATGGGGGCTTTCCATTGTCAATGACCAACGCGATGGACGGTGATAATGATGATCATGGATATCGGTGATGATGGGGGGGGGTGTTGGCGATGATGACCTTGGATGCAGTGATGTTGTGAATGACGAGCGTTGGAAGAAAACAAAATCACGAGCTTACCTCCTCCTATGGCAGCAGCAGCAGGTCTCGGGCTCAGCCCTCGGCCGCCTACAATTTGTGCTCAATTTTTTCCCACCTTTCCCACACAGCGGGAGCCACCAAATCGCCTCCCCCCCCCCGCCATGCCTCCCCACAGGTGGAGACCCAACTCCTTTCACTCTCTCTATCTCTTAACTGCCCGTAGCCAAAATAGGAGTCGGAAAAATGGTTAAAGCACGTACTAAACACACGGTAAATATAAAAAAAAACGATGTCTTCACCTCCTCCTCTTCACCACCACCGCAACAATTGTCGCCGCTTGACGTCGGCGATTACGGACATCGACGGCAAGCTCGCTCGCCTTCTTCTTCTCTAACACCCCCTCCCCCCCCCCTTCTTCTTCCCGGACGCACAACAACCAGCGACGACCGCACGCGCGCACCGCACACAAACCTCGCTCACTGGCCGCTTCCGCCGCTCTCGTTACGGACTTGTCGCGAGCGCGTCAACGCGTCGCTCTGTTAACAGAGACGCCGCCTCCTCCTCCTGCTGCTCCTGCTGCTGCGGCGGCGGCTACCGATCGCTCGCTCGCTCGCTGTTGTTGCTGCTGCTGATGATGCTGGCGGTGGTGGTTGGTTGGCGGTCGTCGTTCGGTTGCGGCGTCGGCCACCACCTTCCTGCGCGCGCCGTCGTGTTGGGCTCGGGCAAGGCGAAAGGCGGTGGCGTCACGACGCAGCACGGAGCGCGGCGCGCACGGGACGATGACGCGCGGGCCGCGGGATCGTGACGCGTGGGCGCGCGCGCCACGGGAAGATGACGCGCGGCGCACGGGAAGATGACGCGGTCGCGTCAACGTCGAGCTCCCACCCTCTCTCTCACCCCTCCCACACCCAACACTTTTTTTTTATCCCCCCCCCTTTCCCTCCCCCCTCCCCCCCCTTTTGCCCCCCCCTATCCATCCCCCCCTTTTCCCTCCCCCTCTCTCCTTCCCCCCTTTTCCCTCCCACCCTTTTGCTTCCCCCCTCACCATCCCCCCTTTCCCTCCCCCCTTTCCCTCCGCCCCTCTCCATCCCCCCTTTCCCTCCCCCCTCTCCCTCCGCCCCTCTCCATCCCCCCTTTCCCTCCCACCCATTCCCCTCTCCCCCCCTCCCACCCACCTTCCCACCGTATCCCAGTCTACCGGATTATAAGACGCACGTTCCGTATGGTGCCCCGCCCCCAGCCCCTAACCTCCACACCCCCCTCCTGTGGGGAGCGGTAGTGTCGCGGTTAGGGACCGTCCATAAATGACGTCACACGGTTTTGGATTATTTTTGACCCCCCCCCCCTCGTCACACGGCGTCACAAAAAGTCAGACCCCCCCCTCAAATATGACGTCACAAAGCTCTGCCCCCCCCCCAAATAAAACATGCTTCAAATCGCTTTAAACTATTGTCATTGTAGTGCGTATTTAATGTGCCGCTGCACTCTGATGTTGTAGGAGAAAACATTTATTAAAAGTTTATTTAATTAAGTAGAACGTAAAATTTTGATTTAAATCTTTCGTGACGTGTTGTCTATATTTATTTAAAGTTGCGCATTTTTACGTGACGTCACACTTCTCAACCCCCACCGATGCGCAACATCTCCCTAGGGAATTGCAAATTAAAGGAGAGCCACGGTGCGATTGTGACCATGTAAACCCAAACAGTTCAGTTCAGTTTCAGTTCAGTTTATTTTGGTATAGCCCTGTGAGCCATTCGGCTCTTGAATCGGGTGCAACCACAACAAACCAAAAAAACAAAAAAACGAACAAGAAAAAACATCTTAAAGTGACTATGTGACTGTGCAAACAGAAAATCCATGGAAAAAAACAGCAAAAATATTCCTGAAAAAAGCACCGTACACCAACGCTGTGTGCAAAAAAATCCCACACGCAAGAATAGCATATTTTGTTTAACACGTAGGCTTTCGCGACCAATATTCATAACACATGTTTTTTTGGGGTTATATCGAAACAGGACTTCTCCACAAATCTGGCTGTCGCCTGATGAAGCTAGTTGTAATTACTGGCGAAACGTCGTACTCAAGATTGTAAATGTTGTGGCTTGGCTCTCCAACACACCGGTGTGCTGTACTAGTGACGAATTAGCATGTTCTGTTTACGTGACAACCATTACTAGTTGGTTGTGGTGGGTTTATCGACACATTTATAAATTTACGCGATCTAACCCAAAAAAAACCTGCATGATAAAATATTCTGGTAGGTGTGACCAGGTTTTAAAACGATTGACACTGGGGATACGTTTTTGTGGAGCGTCTTATAATCCGGTAATCCTTTACTAACCATCACAATATACAGTATAGTATAAGCAGAACTCTTTTCTGTCTCCACATTGTGTAAAAAAAAGGTTTTCTTCCACCATCTTACTTCCATTTGTTTAAGCAAACAAACTGGACCGGTTTAGACATTGTTAAACAAATGCTGCTGGGCTACCAGATGTAATCAAATGCTGCTTGATAACACTGGTTCTGGAAAGCTAATAAACGGATGGGCTAAAACATTGTAATCTATCTTGTGGAAGGCAGAATCGAGTTGTGCTCATATTTGCTTTTAATCCATTATGTCCCACGGCAACGAATTTACAGTAGTTTCTGTTCCATTGACAACGAAGTCAGGGGAGGAGGGAAATGATGCATGGATTACATAACTCTTACAGACGCGTCTTGAGAATTGACCGCAATTACCTCAATAATTATACTGCATTGGCAGTTGTGCACAAGCACAAATAACAACAAAAACAAAACACTAAACACATGTGTCAATAGCATTGCCCTAAAATTTTACTATAATACAGTATACGTTACGGGTAGTCTTGTGATAAAAGATCATTGCCCGTAACGTCGCTTAATGGTAAAGTTTAATTGTCGGTACGCCTGCAAACGGGTAAGCTGTCAGGGTAAAACCGATTGAATATTTGACAAGTCATTTATACTCTCCATATCTCGAGCAACCCTTTGACAAATTTGTCTGGTTTTCCAAAAGGTCAAATCTCCCCGAATGTGCAGGGCAACGCGCAGTGGCCAGCAGAGGGCAGTACAGCAAATGTATTGTTATACTGCACTTTCCATGCTCCCAGCGTGGTGAAGGTATAGTCATATAGCTTCTACGACCATCATAGTGCAACGAGACCATGTCTAATTCTGTAGTGGATTGACAAGAGGGCTATACATGTTACCGCCACAAAAAAAAACCTCGGTTGTTGGCACGTTTCAAGAATTAAACATTATAGTGGTAAATATAGCGGCCTCTAGTGGCTGGAGGGGATCATATGAACTCGATGCACAACACATGTGAAACTAAAAATGCCGATTCTCACGCGAAGGTTTGATGCACATTCTGTGCATGTGGCTTTCGTCTGTAAATGTTGTAACGCCTGCCTCTGTGCTGTCTCATTTGTACTGCCACGACCGTGTGTGTACTGTCTACATCCTCACGTGTTGTTTTTAAATTGACACATCTCGTAATGCTCTGTCTCAGTCCGTCTCTTTCATTTCGAATTTCAAATCATAATCTCAACCGAAAAATCCAACACGAATATCCTATTCATATTTTTTGGTTCTTTCGGTGAAGTCACGTAGATAGAAAATAATCAAATATCCTGTAATAAATTATTCCGCACACGATTCCACGAGCCTATCTTCCGCTAACGTACATTGAATTTCATTTAACCCTACTTAAATCCCAAATGTATGAATCACCTCTAAAGTCAGTATGCCCCCACATGCAAGTCGAAGTTTTCACCATTCTGCGAGTCACATTGTCGTTTCTCATTGCGGGATCGCATCATCGTCACGTCGTGTTTCTTTTTGTCGTTGTTTTAGGGCCCTACATTTACATTGAACTGCCCATATAGGACTCACCACTGTGATCTCTACATTGGGTCAAACTTAACATCTCTTAATGTTCGACGGCTTGTGCACCAGATCTTATTTATTCACGATGTACTTACAAAAAAATCCGCAGACTACCTGCTGGATCTCCTCTCTGTTTCAAAGAACAAATTTGACCTCAGGTCTTCGCTCATTTACCAGCTTCACATTCCCTATTGCCGTACAAAAACTGGAGGAAGGGCCTTTGCTATTGATGCCCCCAGAGTCTGGAATGCTATTGCCAATAAACTGCAACTTGAATCGCTACCAATGAGATCTTCTCTCAAAACTGCTCTAGAGGAGTTGTACACCCCTAGCTGCCACTGCTATTCATTGGCGTAAAATAAAATAAAATGTTTCGCTCCGGATGACGCTGCAAAGTATTATCTGTATTTTGATTTAGCGTGCTGATCTTAAAGGTGCATTGAAAAATTTGATACTCCGACCGAGGCTTCTGTTGTTGTGGAGTAACTCATGCAGCCAGCTATGGCTCTAGGATTTGGTGTTACATGTTATCTATGTAGTTTATTGTAAAAATTCGGTCACAATCCTTGTGATCACTGTTACGTTGCAATTATGGCTTTATTTTTTGGTGATTTGGAAAACATGGACATGTTTGTTTTGTTGTTGTACGGAGTTAGACTGATGGCCTTAATCTAAGTTTTTGTGGTTGTTGTTTGACTTCCATGGATTTTCTGTTTGCACAGTCACATAGTCACTTTAAGATGTTTTTTCTTGTTCGTGTTTTTGTTTTTTTGTTTGTTGTGGTTGCACCCGATTCAAGAGCCGAATGGCTCACAGGGCTATACCAAAATAAACTGAACTACATTTAAATAGTGCGTGCTGCACGTGTGTTGTTGTGCTGGGATTTTGGTCTTCGGAGTGACGCGCTGATAGGGGGGGGGGAGCCACGCAAGTCCACGCCCCTCCCACCACCATCGTCACCGGAAATGCGTCGCTGGTGACGTCATTGTTCATCCTTGCGCGCGTTACCCATTTTGTTTCCTCCGCTACTAAAGCCGCGCCTGAAGCCCGCACGATTTGTGGTGTTTTGTGGGTTTTGTTTTTACTGCGTTCGTGGGAAGCTGCAGCGCGGCGGTTAACCTACCTACCGAACCCCGGCAGGACGAGTTCGATGCCCGCTCGCGGTTCGCACCGGTGACGGTTATCTTGAACCGGTCGATTACGTCGCAGACGAGGACATCGTGCTGCGTTGTAAACAAAAAGACACCGCCGCTTGTGGGAGGCACATTTTGTGGCCGGGCGTGGTTGTTGGGCCACACCACCCTGCCCGGCACTCATCATAGGTGCTCGCTTGCAGCTCTCGCCACAAGAGTCTTGTTAGGGGTATGTCACGGTGGATCTTTGTCCTTAGGGGGGGACCCAGTGTCGCTGACTGACCACTCCTGGCTCTCTCCCAACGCGACTTGATATTTGTTGCGATGAGAAAAACGTGGTGACGAAATAAACCATACACTGTATAGTTAAATATAGCAACATATGCCATACCATACTCCCCTCTGAGTATTGCGATGGAGTGTTATACATTTAGTGGTTTATATATAGGCAGTACTTCTCAAGACTACAGTATGCACAAATTAAACCGTTCATATTTGTTTCACAACCAGTCGTACATTATCCTTGTCTAATAATATAAACCAACAACGTCCTAAGGGCCAGTGTCAATAATGTCCTATTGCATTGCAGACTCCTGTGACTTGGTGTTCACAATTTAGAGTTAGTAATTCTCAAGTTGAAATAAACACTTTTTTGTATTGAATAGTAATAATACACGCTGTTTGTTGTCGGAATAATAACAGGTTAAATATAATAAGCATTAGCAAAGGCATGGGTAATCGCACACTTATAAACTGATT